GGGAACTTTATTCAAATATCTATTTTTCTGGATCAGATACCATAAACTTCCTACACAAGCTTACATCATTGTAAGCAAAATTAAAATGTAAAAAATTGGCATTTACACAGCAGATTGAGAACACAGAAATTCTCTTCTCTGATCACACTTTATCACTTCCTACCCTTCCCACTGAATCATCAAAGCTTCAGTCCATTTGCTGGCACTCTGACTACACATGGCCATGGCCATTCTCCGAGGTCATCAGACTCCTGTCATTCCCAGCCTGAGCCCATGGTGTTCATTTCAATTCTATCCTTGAATCTCCAACTTCTCTAGCCATGCCCCCTGTGCCAGTTCCCAGCCCTGGCTCAGCCCCACTGCCTATTGCTCAGAACACCCAGCCTCAAACCCTGTTGAGTGGATCCATTAAAGACCCTTTACTGTAACGAAATCCTCTTTACTTTCTGGCCGTCCTTTTATCCATTCCTTTTTGAATCATTACTGTGTTTTTCTAGATCAGTGCTGTCCAATAGAAATATAACAAGACACAGAAGTAATTTAAAATTTTCTAATAGCCACGTTAAAAATAAAGAGAAACAGATACAATTAATTTGAATAATATATTTTATTTACTCCAACATACCTAATTGCCTGGCAACAAAAAATCAATATAAAAAGCATTAATGAGATGCTCTATATCCTTTTTTGGTATGCCTGAAATCTAATATGTAGTTTACGCTTGTAGCACATCTCAAACGGATCCAGCCACATTTCAAGTTCTCAGTAACAACTTGTGGCTCATCGCTACTCAATTGAACAACACAGGTCTCAACTTTTCCTAATCGCTTCAAGGCTTACCCTGTCCTCAGTCTCTGGAACACCTTGGGACTCATTTTCCAGAGAAGGTTTGTGTAGATCTACCTCCAGCCACTTTATGTTGTTCCTATTCTGCCTCAACACTTATCTGTGGCCTCAGCCATACTTTCTCAGAATGTCTCTCCCTCTTTACCCATCCTTTCATTCTCCCTTCTTTGAAAAGAAAGAACTATGACTCATCCCAATCTTTCCCCATCTTCTCTGAGACTTTGCTCAATCAAATATCTCCTTTCCAGAATCCTTACCCCTCTCTTTCCACTAACATTCCCAAGTTTTGTGCAACATAAAGGTTAACTAGTTGCTACTTCTTAAACTGCCATTCTATTTACCATCTTCTTTATTACTTTGAACCTCCCACCACCTACTCAACACTTTTCAATATGGCTTCTATCCTCACTGCTGCGAACAGTCTCTGGCAGGTTAGGAGTGACCTTCAGCTTCAAATCCAGTGGTCTTTTCTCAGTCAGCTTTTCCCTTGTTATGTCTTCAGCATTCTGCACCGTAGCCAACTCTTTTCTTCTGGAAAGTTTCTTTCTCCTTGGTTGCCATAACTTACACTATGTGGTACCTTCTGACATCAGACAGGACTCTTTTTATAGCTCCACTTATTCCTTTGAATCTTAAACTGTGGTATCATCCACAGTTGCAAATCTTTGTCTCTCCTCTCTTGGAAGTTTTTTCTACTCTCATGACTTCAGTCATCATTTTCACTCAGAATACACCCAAATGTAAATATTCAGCCCTTTTTACTAGATTTCAGTGCTGCATTTCCAGTTGCCTACTGTACATAATCATCTGAAAATCATTGGAATATGATATTACTGTCCATTTAACTCAAGGCTACTGCAAAAAACCCTAGGGAAAAAATTGAATTTCTAAGCTTTAAAAAAATTAATATGTATTGTGTGTAATTGTCAGCCAATCTCATCACTTCAGAACCTAGAGGTTTAAAACCAAGTGTCAGCTTTTTCTCAAACCAGTTAACTCTCGGATTTCCTATTTTTGTCAGTGATACTAATCACTCAATCACCCAGTTTTGAAATGTTGTTTTCGCCCTTAATTAGCTCTCCCCTCTTTCTCCCACACTAATTAGTCACCATTCTTGTCAACTAATCCTTCATAATATTTCCCTTGATCCACCCCATCTCCTTAAAAAATTGTTCACCACATTCACAAACCAGCCCACATCCTCTTTCATCGATCCCAGTGCTATCCCTTCCTTGAACTGAACATTTACCGCCTCCGATACAAGATATACTGGCATTGATGCAGCATTTTTTAAATGAATGTTGAATCTTCCCAGGTAGATTCTTAAAAGCAGGAACAAAATTTTACGATCTCTTCATTCCTGTGCTTACTAGATAAATAGATGACCAATAATTTTTTACTGTTGATAATGACTCATTTTCACTTAAAGAAAAAATTTCACTTTAAATATCTAGCACTGGAAGCAGATTTAAATATAATCAGGTTGCCCAAATTAATTTTGCATGCTTTTGAGGACATTTAACATATAACCATATAATGTGAGAGAGGCAACTGTTTTGGAAAAAGTTTTAAACTTAGGGTTTGATCTTGCCTTTCCTATTAACTAGTCAGTAGACAAGTTTCTCAACTTTTAACTTTCTCTCTTGTTATATAGTAGTCTCCCTTATGTGTAGGGGATATGTTCCTGGTGTCTGTCATTCTAGAACTGTTTAAACAAAGTGTCCAGATATTCAGAACACTTTTCTAGGGGGTACTATTTTTGATAGATGTTAAGCAATTCGATTAGAGGGGATTCCATTGAAAGTAGCAAATTCTATTTCCTCTTTGTCTTTAAGCTACTTGCAGAGTCTCCCAGGGCTTAAGGGTGCCAACCCCCAAACAGTTGAAAATCCACGAATAACTATTGTGGGCCCTCTGTGTCCGTGGATTCCCAACCACAGACAGAAAATACAGTTGACCCTTGAACGACACAGGTTCGAACTGCTTGGGTTTACTTACTCGGATTGGGCTGGGATGAAGAGAGGCTTTGAAGTGGCAGTACTTTTCCTTTGCCCCTGAAATCTGCTTGTAGAGCTGACCCCTCTCAAAAGAGAAAAAGGAAATCTTTGTTTCACCCCAAAACATGCTCGTGATCCTCTTCTCTACTTCTTATATTGCACACGTGTTATAGAAATAAATGAACAAATATTTTTCCCAAAGAAATGGCTGACTAGAGTAACCTTGCTGCGTTCCCATCATTGATAGACTTGGTAGTGGTGGTAAGTGAGGAGTAGATGGGGATGGATGACAGATGAGCTTAAAAATAAGTTCTCTTATTTTTCAGCTTCAGATTGCTAGGGTATCCTCAGCCTGTTATAAACAGCCTCCCCACCTATAAACCCCTAGCCAGCCTGAGGTAAGTCTGCTGTCACGGATCATACTTTGCTCTGCAACATTTCCTAATGTCCCCTCTACAGCATCAGGGTTGTCGTTAGGCTATGGGACCTTTTCATACTGTTCTTTCAGCTAGTTACATACCTGTGTATGATGGAAGCAGCTCTCTCTCTTTCCAACCTGGTCACCTTCATTTTCCTGTAAGCAAAAACTGGCATCTAATTCTGTAAACCTTCAGGTACCTTCAGGTGCCCCACACATGAAGCTGGCAGTGTAAGTAACTGCCACTTTCATTTGATTGTGAGATGGAAAATTTATGCCTTATTTTCTCTTTCTGGAAATGGACATAACATTCTATAAAAATATGGGTGGACCTTGAGGGCATTGTGTTAAGTGAGATAAGTCAGCTAAAGAAAGACAAATACTGTATAATCTCACTGATGTGTGGAATCTAAAAAAATCCAAACTCATAGAAACAAAGAGTAGAATGTTGATTACCAAGCATTAGGGGTTGAGGGAAATGGGGAGATGTTGGTCAGAGGGCACAAACTTGCAGTTAGTAGATGAATAAATTCTAGAGAGCTAATGCATAGCATAGTGGTTCTAGTCAAAATGCAGCATTATATACTTCAGAGTTGCTAAGAGACTAGATCTTAAATGTTCTCACCCCCCAAAAAAACTATAATTATGTGATGTGATAGAGGTGTTAGCTAATGCTATGGTAGTAATCACATTACAATATACAAATATATCAAATCAGCACATTGTACGCCTTAAACTTATGCAATGTTATATGTCAATTATACCGCAATTAAAAAAAAATTATTACTTGCCTAATTAGAGAATAAATTTATGTACATTCCTAAGCAAGATTTCTATGCTTTTTAAATAATCTGGTGACTGGACTATTCAAAATATTTCCATTTTGTATCACATTTGAATACCATGGCTTTATTCTTTTGAATTTAATTTTTTTCTAAGTTGAAAGAGGGAAGTAATTGAATGATAAATGTGATGTAGATTTTAAAGCTTGTATTTCAGATTTTTAAGTCACAAGATTTAAGTGAACAAATCATGTACAAAGTGATTTAATCTGAATGTCAGCTCCAGGGTTCCTTGAGACATCCTATAACTCTGCAGTTTTGGAGGCAGGCCGTATTTTCAGTCAGATGCCTTTGGCATTGGCTGGGACCTCCCAGGCCCGCTGCCCTGCTTCAGAAGGCACAGTTTTTCCAGAACCTCTCCTTCCTCAGCAGCAGGAACATTTGTGCGACTGGTATACACATCCACAGGCCACCACTGAGACATAAAATTACCAGCAGGGCATCAAGATGCACACAATCCAAAAGAGGAGAACAGGTTCTTCACAGAGTCCTCAGTGTTTTCAGTTTTGTTTCAAAATCACATAATTTGGGCCACTGTGCAAATGGTGAAGCCCATTGAGATATGCTCAAGGAGAGATGGTCGCTGGAGATTCAGCAGCCTTTTCTAACCTATGAATTTATGAACTGTTGTCAGGGATCGAAATGATTCTTCCAAAGCAAAATGGAGTGACAGTAAGTGCCCTGGGCGTAGCCCTGTATCCACTCACTTGCGTGAAGGCCAGTGACAGCCTGCAGCAGCCCTGGCTTTGTGAATGAGCCACAGCAGCTCTCCCAGGGCCCTGCCATTGTTAAGTGGTGTGTGCATTGTGTCTCCTCCCCACAGCTATTGACCTGCTGTACTGGCGAGACATCAAGCAGACTGGGATCGTGTTTGGGAGCTTCCTACTGCTGCTCTTTTCCCTGACCCAGTTCAGCGTATCCGTGGCCTACTTGGCCCTGGCCGCGCTCTCGGCCACCATCAGTTTCCGCATCTACAAGTCTGTTTTACAAGCTGTGCAGAAAACCGACGAGGGCCACCCTTTCAAGTGAGTCTCCCAGCCAGACCAGCCCTTGCCCAGCCTCTCAAGAGACTCTCCCTCTGCCTCTGTTTCACTCCCGTGCACTTTGGGTTATGTTTCTCTGAGAAAGACGGGCTTCTTATAGTCTCCTTTACCACCTACCTTTTAACATCTGGTATTTCTGGTGAGTTTGTAGAACAAACTCGATTATCTCTATTCTAACACTTATTGCTTTGAGTTTTTATATTTTAATTAATACTAATTAAATACTTTATATTTAATATAAATTTAAATAATTTATATAACATAAACGTAGTTATATTTAATATTAATATTTTATATTTAATTATTGCGAATAGTAATCATAATCCATGATATGTAAATGGTGTTTTATAATTAAAGAGTATTTCAACAATTAATCCTCCCAACTCTGTGAAGAAGACAGAGCATTCTAATCCCCATTTACAGGTGGAAAAATTGAGGTTCTAAGAAATAAAGTGACTCATCCAAGGTCACATGGCCATTAAGTAGCACAGAGACAAGACTAGGGTGTTTGGATTTTTATTTCTATGCTCTTTGGAAGTTAATACCAATGGGGCAAACTTCTGAGAGGTGCAAGGTGCATGAACAGTCTTATAATATTCCTACCTCTGTTCCTTCCATTTTTGTAATAGGGAAATCTGACTGGAATGAACACTGAAGAGGAGGACTTTTTTTTTTTAAGGCGATATACTTAGAGGATATATGAAATGTGGCAAAGAGGAGTATTAGCACTGCCAGCTGCATGCCACCCACCTCCACCCCGATTTATCTCTTGATTCTAGATTGTGAGCCCGGGTACTTTTGGCACTGACTGTCAGAGTCGCTGCTCACCCGGTGTTGGCCCCAGAGTGCAAGCCGTTCCTGTAACTGAGGGACAGTTCTGCATCCTGGACGAGACATGCAAACATTGCTGCACAATGGTTTCTCAACCTGTCCCAGTAATTCCTTGGGGAAGCCTCAGACCTCCCTGGCTCACCCTCACCAGTCAGCTAAATCAAGGCATCAGGGCACCAAGTCTCTTAAAAGGGGAAACGATGCCTGTGTTATGGGGACCTGTTGATAAAAGGGAAAAGGCTGCATATAGAAAGACCCTTCTCACCCTCTGGTTCCTGACTTCAGTGTCAAATCCAGTTACATACAGCCTGAGCATTCTTGCCTTTGGGATGTATTTGGCCTTCTTCTATTACAGAGTTAAGGGATCTTGGTGCTATACCTTGGCTACACAAGTTCCCATGCCAAAGGTGGGAAGATGGGAGAAGTAGAAACTCATTTTATCAGGGGAAATACCACACCTACTTGGTGACCCCAGCTTGTGACCAGAGACCGCACATTTAGAGTCCCGCCCTAACCCAGCCTCTGCCCTCAACCACAGGGGCAAATTAGCCCAACTACTTTATCTTCCTTTAAGAGACTATTTTAAAATGTAGAACTTCCCTCCTGGTTGTTTTGTCACTAAAAGAAATACCTAACTCAGAATATATATTGAATCAAAACATCCTATCTGGACAAATCAGTACTTTTCTATTTTTCTCTAAAGGGGAGAAAAGCCATAACATTTAAACATAAACTCCCTAAAACTCAAGCCAAGTGCTGCTTTCCTCTTTTTATCCCAATTCCCAGAGTTAGATAAACACTGTGAGAATTCTAGGTCAGCAGACAACATGGGAGGATGGACCTCTGTGAGAGACATGGCCAAACAGGAGGATGGACTGGTTTTATTACACTCGAGGAGTCTCATTTGTCTACTCAAGAATTAAATTTAACTATCCGAACAAATGAAAAATGCAATTATTGAAATAGCACTCTTAATAGAATCAGTGAACATTTTAATATGGCCCAGCTCACTTTTAGAGCTCTCTAGATAAAGTCTGGAAGAACTTTCCAAAATTTAAATATGAAATCTTAAAAGTTTTAGATGACGAATAATAATTGGCAGCTGGGATTTTTAGATATTTCCACTATTTAAAAAGATAATTTGTCCCCACTCAGCCAAGGAGAAATGAGGACTTTCACAGTTACATCGTGGGCCGGAGATTTATAGAGAATTCAGCAAATGAGCTGATTTTGGATTGATTTTTCTCCATTCCCAGCCAGTTGTTCCAGATATCATCTCACACTAGAATGCTGTCTTTGGGAGACAGAAGCAGTCACAGTGCCCCACTAGGCACCATGATTCTTGTGTTGCCCAGGGCACTGGCTGTGGGCACGTATGGTGCTCTGCAGCCCACCAGCTAGCATAAACCCCCAGGATGACCCGGCTGTCATGCTCAGAGTGAAAGAAGGAAAACTTAGCTCTTTCGTGCTTCTCTCTGATGGAGTTCTCTGTGGGGATGGTTTGTTGACAGGACCTACTTGGAGCTCGAGATCACCCTTTCTCAAGAGCAGATTCAGAAGTACACGGACTGCCTGCAGTTCTATGTGAACAACACACTTAAAGAACTGAGGAGGCTCTTCCTCGTCCAGGACCTGGTGGATTCCTTAAAAGTATGATTGCTTAAGCTGTTTACTTACGGTCTTGAGTTTTGTTTTTTTTTGGTAAAGGTATAATATAACGAACCACCACATAATGGAGAATAAAAAGCAAGTACTAATTACATTTTAGAGTCAGAAAATTTCTAGCTGTATGGTACCATGGAGCTCATCCAGTCGAATCTCCTCGTTTTACAGATGCTGGAACTGTGGCTCGGAGAGGTTAAGCTACTTCCTGAGGTTGCCCAGTGAGTCATTGATAGAAATGAGATCAAACCTAGGCCACACAGCTTCTAGTTCCATACTTTTTACAACACACCAGGTTGCTTCTCCTTACCATTTAAAATTCTCAGCCAATTTCCTAAAATTAATTTTAAAATAAAACCTAGTTTGGGGAATGTGAAGCACATGTGTGCTTTTTCATTGAAAGACTGCTAATAGTAAAACGTCCAAGAGGCAAAGGACCTCAGCACCTGAGTGTTATTCCTGATGCTTTCATTGAACTCACAGGGTTTCTTGGAACAAGCTGTTTTGACCACCCTAAGGTTTACATGTAAAATCAAAGTCAATCAATCATGACAATTCAGGGCCCTGGCAAGGTTGTTGTGAATTCCCAGTGCTTCCAGAGCACTTTGTACACCTTGTACCAGGGGCTGCTGCATAACCGTTAAAGGAAGGGCAGAAGGAAAAGTGAGTGCCATGGCCTTGACCCTCAAGGTACCTTCCTGGAATAACCTCTTGCCAAGTAATGACTAAAGAGAGATACCAGAGAGATTATAATTACTTACTATCAGGCTTAAGGCGACATTTCTATTTATATTTATAATGTAAATACTGTAGGCTAGAGCAGGAGTCAGCACACCTTATCTGTAAAGAGCCATCCAGTAAATATTTTAGGCTTTGTGGGTCACACAATCTCTGTCGCAGCTCCTCGGCTAAGTCATTGTTGCAGGAAAGCAGTGACAGATGATATATAAGTGATTGGCTGTGGCCATGTGCCAGTAGAACTTTATTTATGAACATTGAAAATTGAATTTCATATCCTTTTCCCATATCATGAAATGTTATTCTTGTTTTGATTTTATTTCACCATTTAAAAATGTAAAATCCATTAACTTGGGGACCCACACGAAAACAGGTCAAGAGCCACAGTTTGCCAATCCCTGCCCTAGGTGATTATTTTATTGAGTCCCTCGAGTCTTAAAACAAGGAGATCCGAAAGGTTCTGAGAAAAGCAAAGACTGAATCTTCTTTCAGTAATTCCGTGTTCAGCTAAAAGTGCTCCTACATTTCCTATTGACATCATGATAAATTTTGCCTCAAATTCTAATCTAAAAAATGTCAGTGAAATGAGACCCTTACCCATCACAGATTTAGAAGTTGTGACAATCATTTCATTTTTCAGTTTGCAGTCTTGATGTGGCTCCTGACTTACGTTGGCGCTCTCTTCAATGGCCTGACCCTGCTGCTCATGGGTAAGGACAGGCGAGCGTGTTTTGTCTTCCTTCACACACTCCATGAGCATGAAGTTTCCTAAGCTGAGGGTTGTTAGCTTGTATTGATATATTCCTGGGAACACAGGCCAGATATCCCTGAGTGCACATTTCCCTGACCTTAGTTCAGTAAAGAGTATTATAACGAATCACACATGAATAATGAATTTCTTAGTCTGAAGTTGTTTTTTCTTCAACCACAGCTGGTTTTACTTGGCTTCTAATACATATATTTACCAGGGAAGTTATGGACAGAAATCCATTTTCATCTTGGGAGGGCACAGTCTGCCTTTATTCCAGGAATAATTAATATCTGTAAATGGCTTAGCGTTTCTTTATTTTCCTTATGAACTACTTCGTCATCTTTTATCTAGAATGTTAACTATAATAAATAATTCTATATTTAGAATTATATAAACTATATAAACTATAGAACTATATAAACACATATCTATAAGCTTATTCTTGATGATAACTCTCAGAATTTTAATACTATATTTGTTTTTCATCCCAGCTGTGGTTTCAATGTTTACTCTACCTGTAGTGTATGTTAAGCACCAGGTAAGTCCTATGTGATGTCAAACATTCACATTACATTTTGACCTTGTGACTTTTGGATGTGCTCATGACTTCTTCCTTGTCGTAGGCACAGATTGACCAATACCTGGGACTTGTGAGGACTCACATAAATGCTGTTGTGGCAAAGTAAGTTACTTAGTGCAGTTTATAAAACTGCAGGAGAGACTATCTTAAGCAGGCATTTCAGTGCATTAGGTAGTGTAATAAAAAGAATAAAACAATAGGTTGATTTATGATTATTCATTTATTTGGGCCATATTCATGCCTTTCCCACTGATGTTATTTCAGAAAATAAGTATAAATTTTAAAACTCTCAATTAAACAAAACTTTGATTGGTTTATTTCAGCTATCATGATGAATGAGTTTTAGAATGAATGATATTAAGTTCTTTCTGAGGACTGGCTCCTGTTCAAAACCAAAATGGGTTGGGTGGAGGATAGAAGGAAACCTGATTCAGAAAAGTGAAATTAACTTACAAAAGTTTAAATGAAATAAAAACAAGTTAACAAACATTTTCAGTCTTTTAAACAGCAAATATCACTGGTTTTAAAACCATTGAAATTACTTTGAAAGCTTTAAAAATTTTTTAAATCTTTAAAACTTTTCTTAGCATTTTAAATTACACCATTTCAATTCAACAAGTATGTGTGTGTGTCCGTTTGCTTATTTAATTAATACTATGGCTTTTTAAACCTGAATCTTTGATAGACTCTACTTTATGGCTACTTTATACATTAGGAGATAAAGATTCTGGTTATAAGTATCCATAGCAAACATGGTCATTAAAATTACCTTTCCTTAATTTTTAAATTAGCGTTTTTAGCTGTGTCTCAGCCTAAAATGATAGTTTTTATGTTGTCTTTATTATTCAAGATTTTGTATTAATCAAAAGCTGACCTAGACTTCACCTACAAATAGATATTGGAAAAAGATTAGTCTTTGTCAATAGGAACACCCTCTAATAATCTTAGAATATTGTGCCTAGACCTAGGTGATGATCAGAATTAAAGGGAAGTATTTTAGACAGCCAAAGATGTATGAAACAAAACAAACAAGAAAAAACAACTACTTTAAATTAAACTTCCTCTGCTATTAGATTTGCATATTGTCAATTATATTTCTCTCCTGAAGTAGACAAAGATTTTGTGTTTTACTGTGTACTGTTTATAATCTTCCTCTTAAGTTCATGGTGAATTTGGATCTGTAGCTGATCAACATTTCAAAATTCCTGAAGTTATCAGGACCCAGTGCAACCCAGTGCAAAATCAACAAATTGAAGATATTTAGTCATTTGTATTAAAAAATGACAGCATGGTATAGTATTAAACTTGGTAGTGCCAAAACCCTAGGGAATCTGTTAAAAATACTAATTTTCAAATTCTTACAATAGACCTATAGAATTAGAATTTCTAGGATTGGGGACGTGGAATCTATATTTTAATGAACTCTGCAGGTGACTTTTTGGCAGTGAAGACTGTATTTGGGAGCTATAGCCAAGAACACCAGAATAGGAGCTTGGAAACTGGAAGATTGAAGTTCTAGTCCTAAGTTGTCCAATACTTAGTTTGAGGATCTTGAACAAATCATATCTATGAATTTTTTATTTGGCCAATTGGTTGATTGGTTCCAAAAAGAGACATCCTATTATGTCCCAGGTACTACATATAATGGGCACAGAGGGTGTATAAATGAGTGAGATGATCCCACCCTAGCTGAGCTCTCAGCCTATGGTTGCAGACAAAAATGAAGAAATAACTATAAGATAATGTAACATTACAATTCAGTTGTATAAAATATTAAGATCAAAGACATAAGGGAACAACTATTCTTTTACAAGACACTAATCTCATTCTTGAAGGCTCCACCCTCATGCCCTAATTACCTTCTAAAGCCCTCACCTCCTAATATCAACGCATTGGGGGTTACATTTCAACATGTGACCTTTAGGAGGGCACACAAATATTCAGTCTACAGCAGCCTTGAAGGATGAGTAAACATTCATCAGGTGGATGATGAGGGGAAAGACATTGCAAGAAGAATAAGTAATATAAGCAGAGGCAGAAGCATGACAAGTTCCAGCACCATCTGACCACTGCCTGCCTTTTAGACCTCCTCTCCCCACTCCTCAAGCACACTGGCCTCGACTCTCCTCTTCCAGAAACACTACATGCCCAGATCTTTGCCTGGTGGCCCCTTCCTGTCCATTGAGCATGTTTCTGAGATCAGTGGATTTAAAGTAGACACAGCCCAACTTCGCTGCTGCTCCCTCACTGCCTAGCACACCTCCTTGATTTGTTTTCTTTTATAATACTTTTCACCATCTGAACTGCTCTTGTTTATCTACTCGTTTATTTCTGGCTCCTCAACACCTGTAAGAATGACAGCTCCCTGAGAGCGGGCACCTTCGCCCTTTTGTTCACTAAAGTCCAGCATCTGGAAGGATGCCTGGCGCAGAGGAAGGTCTCAGTAAAAGTCTGCACGATGAGCTCATAAAGCTATGATCTAATAAAACAAAATGCTTTCTGTATACACTTACCCTAAAATAATGCTGCCATACTGTGAGAATCACATAATTTTAGGGGCCTTGGAGATATCTAATCCAGAACCACATTTTTAAGATGGATGTTCTACGACCAGGGAAGCTCATTAGCTCATCTGATTTTGTCACACCGCTAGCTAGTAAGTAGCACAGCAAGGACTAGGACTCGGTATATTAATTCCAGTTCTGGGTAGTTTGCCTATGTGGAGGTTAACCATAGGTTCCTTTACCTGGAACCATCCTGTTTGTGCGCCTTGTCCTGGAATAGTAATAGCACCATCTTTGTCTTTCGGAAGTGTCCTAGCTTGAGTGATAAATGGTCACCGAACTGTATCACAGCAAAATCCTGGAATCCTGATATAGATCGACATCTTCATTTACCTAAAAAGTTATAATTTAAGGAATGAGGCTTTCTTGGATCGTTTATTATCTAATTTTCATATTCTTATTGCTGTATACAAAATGTTTATGGACACTCATAAAAATTATGTATTTTTAAATATTAAGCTATTTGGTCACTTAGCTAATTAAAGCAACAACACATAATGAAGTCATAAAATAATTTCATTAATAACACTTGTGACTTACTACCTTTTAATATTGTCTTTTTAGGATTCAGGCTAAAATCCCAGGTGCTAAAAGGCACGCTGAGTAAATCGATATCTCATCGGGACTGGAAACAAATAGGAATGTCTGCAGTGGTAACAGCTCTGTTCTTACATGTCACAGCAAATCGATTGTTTCTCCCCCAGTACCATAATCTTAGAGACAAACTTTAAAACAGCTGTTTTTACGCTGTTCCTGTACTCTTAGGATATTTGAGTCACTTGTGTCAAGCACTAAAGTATAGAGAAAAGTGTATTAGATGTGGTTTTTAATTTTGTGTTACTAAAAAAGTGCATGATGGCGAGAGCCTAAGTTATCTTTCCTCCCTCAATGTTCTTCTCTCTGCAATGCTTCTGTAGCTTTTAATGTCCCCTGTGGCTAGGCCTTT